GAGGGCTCCCTCTAATGCAACTGGAGGACACTACCTTCAGCCACTGGGGGCTAGGGGTGAGGGGCGGGCTGGGTGCCGCCCAGGTCCCCAGGGTGAACTGCTGAGGCCCCTACCTCGCTCCCCTCCGGGAGGGCTCTGTGCTTCAGTTTCCCTCAGTCTGAGAACAGCTCCATCCAACTATCAGGCAACCTCTCCAGAGCTCAAAAGGAACAGTGGTGTGTGTGCTCTGGTCAAAGGCAAGGGAGAGAGGGGATCAAGGAGGGGGCAGGCTTGTTGTGGGTCTACAGGCTGTGGAGAAGGAACCCCAAGGTTCTGACTTGGGGCCTTTGCAACTGGTTGTTCTTGTCCGGGCCCTCCTCCCCACCATATCAGTGACTGTTCTCCTTCTGGTCATGGAACATGCCCTCTTGGTAGCCAGATGTGGATCAAAAGGCAAACTAGACATTTTTCTTTTTCTTTTTTAGTGCCTCCCACTACCCCTTCCCTTATCACCCCCCTCCTCCAAGAAAAACACACACACAACAAAAGCCAACTCCCATCTCCATGGCGAGCCTTGGTGGGGAGGGGATGAACTGTCCGTAACTACAAGGCCCTTCTCCTAGAAGAGAGTAGTCAGGTGCAGAGTTGTGTGGGGAACTCGGCCTCTAGTCAGCCACGCTGATGACTCATAAGCTAAATATAGCGAGCGATATAAACAGAGCCAGCCACAGAGCAAACACAGGGCCCCCAAGCCCTTGCCCTGGCTCTCACGCACAGCAGCTTTCCACAGCCCCTCCCTCAGCCTCACTCTTCCCAGGCACTGTCCTGGGTGGACCTCCCACTCCTGGGGCAGAGGCTGGCTCTGTTGGGGCCCTTCTCACTTTAGGGCAAATCTCTGGGTTTCCTGCCCAGGGCTGTCCCATCTAAAGTCTGAACAACCTCACTAGCCACAGTCTAAGTTCCAGAAAACCACTTGCTAACAAGGAGAGCATCCCAAAGGGTCAGGAAGCAGTCAGGGGTTCCCTGAACAAAGGATCCAGGCTGCTGGCAGAGAAGCTGCTAGTTAATACACCGTGCAAACACCACCCTGGGTACAACTGCCCAAAGGGCTCCCCAAGAACTATAAGGGCAGGTCCAAGTGAAATCCTAAAATCATCTTTCAACACATTTCCAAAAGTGTTAAACTGTCCTTTCCTTACTAGTGATATATCTTACAACCAGGACCTGCCTCTTAAGTCCAGGGTCCTTTCTGTGATATTGCAATTAAAGATGATTTCAACTGAGTGGCTGAATTGTTTCTCAGATTTCATTTTTCAGAAAGTCTAATTACTAGTCAGGGAATTTCCAAATCTGACTGTTCTGAATGGAGCTACTCCTTGTCCAAGTGAAAAAGTCATTTCCAACATGAAACATTCCAACCCTCCTTTAGCTTTACTCAACAGTCTACAGTAGCTACTTTTTTGGAGGATTCTTGGCTTCTTAACTTTGCCCCAAAATACCACCACAAATTTAAAGATGGCGCCACTGGGACAGGAGACTTTCTCAAGGGGAGGGGACACTAGCTACCGCTGTCCATTCGTAGGCCCACGCAGGAGGACACCGTGACAGAGCGGCCATGAGCTCAGTGAGGAGGCAAACCCGCACCTCCTCTTCCCTGCAGGAGCTGTACGGACATGGAAGTAGTGGGGCACGCTCACAGAGCCTGAGTCAGGGTAGGCCACCGTCAACAGTCTGCAGCCCGTCAGATCACAGAAGAGCAAAGAGGAAAGTAGAGTGGGTGACCAAGTTTGGAAAGGCTTTTACCTCCATTCACTCTGCCTCCAAATCTCTTGTAGCTTTGAAGACCCTCGCTGACACTGATCTGCCTCCAATTCCCTGCTGGTTGGTTCAGAGGAGCCAGCAAAGCTGATCACTTGAGTGACCAGGCTAGACCTGCACGCTCTTTGGGAAATATGGCCAGCATACACTGACCCGGGAGAATCTGCAACCTCTTCAATCCGGGGTCACGTTGATGCACTCAATTTGCCATATTGCCAGAGTGCTATAATGCACTCCCCATCATCATACCCCCGCCCTTGGCTCCACATCTCCTAGGGAGAAGATCTCCCCTGATACAGAAAAAGAATAACTGAGGTTCAAACCAGGGACAAAAATCAGAGCTCACACTGCCTTCAGGACTCAGGGACTAATGGCCACTGTCTGGCTCTGTGATACCATCCCAGATCCAAGGAGAAAGAAGATGGCCAGGCCCTTTCAACTTCTTCTTACCTCTTGGGCTGTCTTTCGTGGCTCTCTAAGCTCAGCCTACAATGACGGGGAATGACCATCACTCTCAGAGGAGAATGTTCAAGGCCAAAGCTTGAAGCTGAACAGTTGGGACACCGATTTCTCTGGACAAGACAGGCAGAGGGGAGCTCAGGGAGCAGTGTGATGGGTGGGGTGGGAAATGTTGAGGGCTGATCAGGGTTACAGAGAGACGGAAGTAAACAAGCATTAGAGAATACCTACTGATGTGCCTGGAGTTTTCACAGGTATTAACTCACTTAACCTTTCAAGTAAAATTCCGTGGTATTAGCTCAAATTTACAGAAGAGGAAAGAGGCTTGGCAAGGTCAAGTGACTTCGCAATGGCTAGCAGGTGGCAAAACTGGTATTCAAACCCGGGCATTCTGACTTTATCCTTAAAGCCTAAAGACTTAATCCTAAACCTTCCAGGGCCTCAGTCTCCCTGCCTGTAAAGATGAGGGAAGGCAATAGGGAAAGAAGATAAAGGATAAGAATGTAGGAGTGTCGACAGTACTTTTTAGATATGAAATATTAGACTGTAGTTATGTAATAATGAAGTTCAGAAGATGACTAACTCCTTAAAACTAGCTGCTAAAAGATCCTATGTATGCAATTATCCTAGCCCTTCCCCCAAGATGAGCCCCACCCCCACCCCCCCCCCTCACCCCGGTGAGCAGGGTTAGTGGGGAGGAGGGGGTGAAAAGCAAGAGGACTCCGCAGAGTTTCTTTGTAATGGAAAATTTGGGAAAACCAGAGGTAGCTGGCAGGTGGATGAGGGGCACAGAGAGCTCTGGAGCCAGTACAGGGGGAGGTGCTGAGCAGGGAACACTTTTTTACAGTTAGCTCTCCTGCTCTATCCTTCCTCCTACCCGGCTGGGGTGGCTCTGCTGAGAGGACGGCATCCTGTCTAGGTCTGAACCATGCCCTCAAAGACGCAGCCCGGGGCTGGGGAAAAGATGCCAAGCAGCAAAGAGCAGGGTCAGACCTTGAGATAAGGGCCGCCTCCTCCTGTTCAGGACTGAGGCAGGAAGAAAGGGCGCTAGGCTGTGGTCTAGCCCTATCCTCCCAGCCTGCTCCCAAGCCTACAGGAGCTCCCCAGATGAGGGCATTTTCTGGGAAACACCTGTTGAAAGAGACCAGGTCTGTTGAAAATGAAAAAAGCTGCCTTCCAAACAATACTTGAGATGAGTCTAGGAGACCCAGAGCCACTGTGTCATCCATCAGCTCCAGCACCAGGACTGGAAGCTGTGAGCTGGACTCAGCCACAGGCCGTACAACCAGGCTAGAGTGAATGGGCAGGAAGGAGGCCAAGAGAAAGAAATCAAGAATCAGAGTGAGTCCACACATGGACTGAAGGGGAAACGCTAAGCCAAGTTTCCACAGAAAAATCAAAGGACAGACTAGAAACGAGTTTGGGGCCAGAAGAGGAGGCCAAGCTGCCTTATTATCTAAGCACAGGGCCACCCTACCTTCCTGATCTCTGAGGGACTAGGAGAGCCCACCAGGACCAGTTCTAGACCCAAATTTCCCTCAGAACCCTTTGGCAGAAGGCACTGACCATATTTAACTCTTGATGGCCTGTTCTCAGGAGACCCAAAGTCAATTTCTCCTCTCCCTGGTGCTAGCAATGGTTTGGTCTTTGAGTCAAACTATCAATAGCTCTCCTCAGGCCACCTGAAGTGACCCATCTAACCTCAGGGCCTTGCCCAATCAAGATGTTATTTATTTTCCTGATTTCCAGACAGACAGACAGACAGATACACACACACACACACACATTTATCCTACGGGCCAGGGACACTATCCCAGAAGGAGGGAACGTGCTCACTTCCAGGTGGCGTGCCTCCGCTTCAGCGATGGGTATACTAGCACAGACCAGCCCCAGCCCTCTCCCTGCTTGGCAGCCCTCCAGAAAGTCAGCCCAGAGAGGAAGGGTTAAGTGCCTGGGGGCCGCCCAGACAGGGCTGCAGAGCAGGGCAGCCTACTTCCCGTGGCACAAGGGCTCCTTCAGCACGAGCCTGCCAGCCGCCGCCTTTGTTGATGGACTCTGCCACATGCTCCACTGACACGGGATGCCCCGCCCTGGCGGTGCTGGTGCCAGGCTGCCGGCCAAGCACCCGGCCGAGCGCCCGGCCGCCGGTCTGGAGAGACTCCCCGAGGTACACTCTCCAGAGTCCCAGGCCCCAGTTCCCAGACAGAGACAATGAGGAGCAGCCTCCCCAGCTGGAAAGTGTCAGGTTACAACCGGTTCCACCACTTTCCCCCACTCAGCCCATCCCTCAGCCTTGCTTATTAGGTTCCCATTGCACCTCAGCCAGACATCCCCAACTGTCCAGTTTCACCGCAGCACCCTGGAAATCTTCCCCTTAGGTCCATAAGGGACAATCTCTCAACCCAGCCCTCAAGAAGACACAGTTTGTCAAGCAAGGCTGCAAAAAGTCATCCCATTTTCCAGGAAGGAGGGATAGTGGCATCTCCCAACAAACCATCTTATGGAGCCTGAGCTGAAAGTGGGCAGATAATCAACTTGGAGCGCAGAGATGAGGGCAGGTATGCTCATCCAGTAGGGCCCATCCAGTCCTCAGGAATCACAGGAGTCAAGGCCAAAACTCTGGGACCATATTCTTGAGATCTAGCCAGACAGGGTTGCAGAGGCAGGCCCCAGCCACCCCCCTACTCACCCACCCAGCAGACTCAAACCTCACCCCCCACCCCACCCCAAGGACCCGTGCCTACTTGCTGCATTTGAAGCCGATGAAATTGGTCGGCAATACTCTGAAGCTTTCTGGCGATCTGGATCTCTGCTCGATGATGTTGCCACTGTCCTTCAGGGGGCTGCTCACCAAGGGGCAAGCCTGCAGGGAAACTGGCAGGGAGAGGGAGCCGGTAGCCAGCATTGCCTGCAAGGACAGAGGGCCCACATCTCAGTATTCTCCACAACCGCCCCTTCTTCCCCATGCCGAACACTCCTGGCAGAGACCTGGGGTTGAGGCCTTATCAGGGCAGTCTGCCAAATTTGGACAACCTGACTCACTAGCAAGTATATAAAAGCTGGTGCTGGGAGAACAGAAGGGAATGGTCCCAGCCCTCCCTTCGGTTTTACATTCGCCGGCAGTGCCATGGCAAAAGTAATATGTATGGGTGAACGTGCCAACTTTCTGTCCTTATTTACCAAGCTATGCTTGACCGTAATTTATTATTCATGTAGTAGCAGGTTGAAGCTCTTCTCTGGAAAGGCGCTGGAGGCAGCTCTCCAGAGTTCCTGGGTTGAGCAAAGCAAGGGACAGAGAAAGAGAAAACCAAAATGTGTCTTCACTTATTAGTGCAGCGCAGGAAGGTTGGTCTCAGGTCCTAACGCTCTGGGCAGTGGTATAAAAACTAGGGAGAGAACACTCAGACCCACAGAATAGCTAAGTTCCTCTCTGGAAGCAAGACCTCAAGATCAGTGCTCCATACTTACCAAGTGCTGGCAATTGAGCTGCCACTAGGGGCACCCGCCTGCCTCCTCCCTCCTTTCCCTCTTCCCGCCAGAACTGCGGTGCAAAAATTCCCTATGGGTGGGCTCCCTCTGGGAATAAGGGCAGCATCTCCCCAGTCTGTCCATCAGACTCAGCAAGATAGCCTCTGAACCTTTCCCCTCTCCCCATGCGCTATTGTGCTAAAAGTAGAAAACAGACTGTGTGGCTAACCCTGCCTTTTTGCCAGAGGAGGGCATACAGCTCATAAAACAAACCATTTAAGTCCACAAATGAAGGGGTCTTGTCCTATTGAACCTTGGAAAAAGCCCCTCTGCTGGCATGGAGCCTAGGCAGTCTCAACCTCTTTTTCCAGTTCCCCTTCCAAGCACAGAAAGTCCCAAGTGACAAGTGGGGGCCACCTTCTGCCTTCAGGAACCTTCTGTCCCAGAACCAGCTGGGTTTTCCCCTTCCGTGTCAACAGCGAGTCGCAGATCCGCGAACCTTCTCCAGAGCAATGTCAGCCACTTTACGGAAGGACACATAAGGCTGCACCACTTTACTGGCCACAGGATGTAACAGCTGAGGCTCAGGTACCCTCTCCAACCCAAGGAGACACCGTGGACCCAAAGATCCCTCCAGAAAGGGGCAAAAGAGCAGAAATGATGGCAGGGCGCTCTGTCTTTCCTGGCGCTCAAGGAGCGCAGGTAAGGAGCAATGACAAGCAGAAAGGCAACAGGTGAGAGCTGAGGAAATCAATAGCCCCTGCTGTTCAGTTTGGGGAAGGAAATAGCAACAGGCAGGTTTGGGGAGGGAAAGTCCCCTCTTTTCCCCACGTCTCTATGGGAGGAGTCCTGAGGCTAAGAGCACTCACCATAAAAGAGTCGCTGGGGTTCCTCGGTCACCCCACAAGGCAGCATGACACCCTGGCTCGGGGAGGCTGGACTGAGGGTCTGGGTGGCCTTGTCTTCCTGGCTGATGGGTCGAAGCCCAGGGCCACAGCAGTGGGTGAGAGGGAAGAGCTGCAGACGGCTGAGGGGGCAGTCCAGCTGGCTCTGGGCAAACAGGTCAGCAGAGGGCAAGCTCCCAGGCTGGGTCCCCAGCTCATCCTCTGGCTGAAACACATCATCCTCCAGCTCCTCCACACACTGAGGTGGATCCATCTCCCCTGTTGGATGTAATGAGGCATCCAGGATGCTATCCCTTCCAGGGAGTCCTAGAGGGGGTCCTCCCCTGCCCTTCCTTCTTCTCTCTTCTTATCCGTGGAAGTGGGGCCAGGTACTGATGCCTGATAACCCTGGTGATATAGTGCTGCCAAGGGTGACACCTGTCCCCACATGCGGGCCGCCTCACTGTTCAGGGACTCTCCATACTTCTTCCTGAGCTCACCCACGGCCACCTCCCCGCAGTCTCTTCTTCTGACCCAGCTGGTCACAGTCATGAAGTTTGCTCCCAACTCTGAGCAATAGCAGGGGTATGATCAGCTGCTATAAGCGCTCAGGGTACCTGGGGAAATGTCAAGATACTAGCCTCTGTGAGAGAGCAGCGGGTGCTGTGTGGCCGACTGTACACACAGTGCTCACAACACTCACTCTCTCTCACCCACTCTCTCACTCACTGCCCTGAGGAGTAACCAACCACCAAGTCTAAACTGAGCTCCAGGCTCAGCAGTAAAAACAAAAGCCAGCCAGCAATCCTAGGACAGCCAGGTTCCCTCCAAACCTGCTAGGCCCTGCCCATCTGCCCGTCTACGCTAGTCTCCACCCCCAGCTTGCTCAACACAACAAGCAGGCTCCCTGGTGTGGTAAGAGTGTGTCCTGGGAGAGAAAGGGAAGAAAGACCCAAGTTAGTCATTGCAGCTGCCCTCTCAGCACAGTAGAGCCGTCTGCCCACCACAGCTTGGCCTAGAGGGTGGGTCCAACATCCAGCAAAGTAACTGACCTCCTCCAGCTCAATCTACTCACTAGTCTCCCTGACTTCAAACCCTTTCCCACAGCCTACCACTCCTGCCAGTGCTGAACCTTAGATTGGTACGATCTGCCTCACAGGAGGAAGTGAAATTTTGCCCTTTCTCTGTGACCTCACTCACTGCCAAAATACTCAGGTTGTTGATACGAGTTTCTTGGTAATAAAGAAGTTCCTCTTGCTCCACCTGATGACTCTTGGAAGTCTGACCTTGGAGCCACCTAGCATCTTGAATTCCCAACCCAGCCCCCTACACACTAACTAGGAATCCCACTGGAGCAGCTAGAAGCAAAAAACCACCTGAATAATTACGGGTACAGAGAGACAATGTTTGTCACTGCCAGATTCAATTAGCGATCCCCTGGGAATTCTGCTTCCCAGTCTTTTGCCTTTGAAGAACAAGCCAAATGGTCTGTGGGTTGGTGAAGTACTTAAAGAAATAGCAGTTAAATTCAGAAGTCCTGGCTTTCCCAAATGCAAGCCGTCTGTCTCTCTGTCCCTCTATCCCACCTAGTCCTGAAGCTATGGTCCTATCTCCCGCCCTCTTCCCTGGAGAGTGAGGAGATGGCCACTTGGATGGCAAAAGAGGCACCTGGTATTCTTTGAATATTGTTTCCCAAGGGGGGTGGGTGGGAGAACTCCAGCTTATCAGCACCAGGAAACAAAGTTTCCTGCTGAAAAGACCAAAGGCTATCCTGCCAGTCAGCTGGCAGGGGCTCCCCTCCTGTCCCTCAACCTCCTCTCAGCAAACCGGCAATCCCAACCTAAGAAGGGGCCCTCCAAAGCCAGTCACAACCAGGACTCATTGTCTTGTTTCTTCCTTTGAAGCCCGTCACCTCCCCTCCCCCTTCCCCTCCCTCTCCCAGCAAAGCCCCAAAGTGCAACCCTTACTTGGACTGAACAGTGGGGGAGGTATAGCCAGAGGGTGTGGCTCTGCCAGCCAGGGTACCCTTCCTACTCTCAACAGGAACTGCAGGTGGGAGCCTCGGAGGGGTGCTGGGCAAGGTCAAGTGTAAACTAGGATACAGTAAGAGAACCTCTTCTCCCCCTCCCCAGACCTGAAGGGGTGATGTCCAAACTGGTAGGAGGAGCACTTTCTGAGAGCACTGCTAGGGAAGGCTTTATTCCTAGCAAGGGGAACTAAAGCCCGCCGTAGCCATCCCAGCCCCTGTGGGCTCTAACAGGGATGCTGAGCTCAGACTCCTCCTCCCAGGAGAAGGCAGAAGGCACTCTGAACTCCGACAGGGGCTAAAATCTGGGCACGCGCGCACACACCACGCACTCACACTCACACAGCACACACCAGACCTGGGTGACTCCAGGAGAGAGTGTCGGCCTCCGAGTCGTGATGCCAGGGCTCCGCGCCAGGGTCCAGCGTGACGAGCGCTCTGGGGCTTGGCGCCCAGACGCAATTGGGAAGGAGGGGAAAGCCCAGCTGTTAAGGAGAGGGGCCTTCAGACTCCGCGGGGAGGCAGGACGCCCCACAACTTCCTGCCCTACCCCAAAGTAAGATCCGGAGCCCCGGCTGTTCTCTGGCGCCCAGGTCGGCTCGGCAGTGCACCGCAGGCTCCCTTGCCCACCTGGACCCAACTCCTGGGACTCTCAAATGCTACAACTCCACGTTGCCTCGTGGAGCAGCGCACCTAGATGTGGGTTCTGCACCCCGTTTCCACAGCCCAGCGCCCCAGTCCTTCATGATCACCCCAGATACCCGCAGTCCAACCCTTCCCGGGCCCCCACGCACAGCGCGACTCCTCTCCCCACTTCGCCGAGGAGGTGCGATCCAACTCCGCCCGGCTCCCGGCCGCCCGGGCGCCCTCCGGGCTGCTGCCGGGGGCGGGAGGCGCGCGCAGGGGCAGCAGCCGCAGCGGGCGGGCGGGCGCGGGAGGAGGCCACTCCGCACCTCGCGGTATTGTTTCCAAAATACGCCCGCTCTGGGCATCCCGCAAACAGCTGATTAGGCCCCGCCCCCAGCGCGTCACGCCGACGGCTGGCCAATGGCGAGCGGAGCCCCCGGTCCCGGGCTGGGCGGCTGCCAGGGACGGTCAAGAAACGAACCTTCCGTTGGAAACATTGCAAGGGGCCGAGCAAAAGTTCTGACCCGCGCCAGAAACGCAATTGGCGCGTCGTCCGCCACGCAGATTCTGTTCCTCACGCAAGCTCGGGCATCGCCGGGGACTCACCCTTCCATTAGGAACGAGCGAGGGGGCGCCAAAGGGACTTCTGTGTTCTTCCTCGGAAATGGGCTAAATAAATACGGCTCCGGACAGGGAGGGGAGGAGGAGGCTGAGAGCTTTCGGACGCGGCTGGCGGCGTCCGGTGGGTGCAGGTGCGGGTCCCCGCGGATCCTGGCCTGGTGGCAAAGCACCCTCCGCTTGCCGAGCCGAGCGCGTCAGGAGAAACTCCAGCCCCAAGTCTATAGGAAGCCTGAGAACATGTGTCTAAAGCTGTTACTGAGTGGCTTTCAGATCAAAAACATCCAAAGGGGCCCTCGGGTCCTCTTCTTGGCTGGGCGTGCACCCTTACAAACGAAGCATCTGGCTGAGGAGAGGCGAGATGCTTGGGCAGGTGACACGCATCCTTTTCACGGCCGCATCCAGAGGTGGTGCCGGTGCTGCCAGGAGAGCAAAGTGTCCTGCAGATCGCATACCACCGGTAAGGGAGTGTGGACGTTCACAAACATTTATTGAGCACCTGTATTGTGCGGGGTACTGTGTTAGGTGCCAAAAACCGGGTGTCTGTCCTCAGGGAGCTTACAATCTACTCGGAGAGATAGACCCGAAAATAATGGAAAGTAGGAGGAAATATGTTGATTTTGGAGATAATGACTGCTAGAGATGCAGAAAAATTCAGAATGCGAAGGCGGGAAGGCTTTAGGGAGAAGGCTTTTGAGTTAGGCCTTGAAGGATGGGGAAATTTTTCAATATGGAAAACCAGACAAAACAGCCCAGGCCTGGGGGCAGCAGAATAAATAAGCTGGGGAATCTGTCCTGGGGGCAGGCTAGAGGGTGGGATCATTGGGTGCACACTGGGATGTAGGAAGGGTGGGCATGGACAGGTAGATGTAAGTCAGAATACAGAGGTGTTCCTAGAATGCCAGGTTGGGGAATCTGTACTTATTCTGGAGGCAAAGCGGGGCTAGCAAAGATTTTATAGAAGATGAGTGACTTGGCCAAGTCTGAATTTTAGGAAAGATAAATGAAGGGGCCAGAAATGAATGAGAGGGAGCCAGTCCCTGCAATAGACCTGATGATCGATTATAGGGCCTGATCCCAGTGGCAGGGGGACGGGTGGTTGTAAACTCAGACAGATCTAAGCGGAGCTGGGACCCTTAACCCAGAGGAGCCTGACGTCATCTTATACCCTTTTCCTACCCATTCTTTCCCTAGCTCCTTCCAAGGGTGCCTGAAAGAGAGCAAACCAGGCGTAGTGAGGACTATGGTTGCTAGAGTAAGAAAACACCATCCCAAAAGGATGGAGAAGAGGGAAAAGGGAAAGACGGGAGACTCCAAGCTGGCCAGCAGCCCAGTCCCCCCAGGAGTTGACAGGCATCCAAAAAAGAGGTGCTGGAGCCAAAAGGAGGTATATTATTTTACCAGGAGGCTTGGCCAAGAGGGAGTGTCGGAACCTGTCATGCCACATGTGGGGAGACGAGGAGACCAACCCAGCCTCTGTGCAGGGTTCTCAGGAGCCTTCCTGGTCACCATGCAGATCTCCTTCCACTCCTTCCTCCCACCCTTCCTATTGGCTTCCCTCCGGGGCCAGTGTTTCAGGCCGGCCACTGTGATGATGGGAAGGACTTAGGGTAAAGAGTGGGACTGAAGGACGAAGCAGCTCTGAATCTGTCCGCTGGGGCAGCACGGGCCCCCAAGGGCAGGGGTCATCCTAATTCTCCTGACCCAGCCAAGCTGCTAACGCTCTGTCTGGGTCCTCACAAGGTGGGATTGGGCCCACAAGGCGAGGAAGCTGGGAGAGCAGGGTGTTCACCTGGGGCCCATGTATTTGTCACATTCACCAGGGTCTCCTCTCCTCTGCTTTAGGATCTATGAACCCCTAATACTGGCTAACTTCTGTGTGGATCCACACATACATTTTTGGAGGGGTGGCTCCATACCTTACAAAAGTTTCCCAAAGGGGCCTGTGACCCTATAAAAGGTTAAAAAATCATCATTGTAGGGTAATGGGGCTGGGGAGGGGATCATCTTAGTGGGTCTGGGCAGTTTGCAAGATGGAGGGAGGGTCACACCCTCTCGTGACATTTCTTCTAAGACCTCTCTCCCAGGCTTTCCCAGGCTGCTCCCTCAGGCTAGTCTAAAGGACACCTGGTGGCTTGGCCTCCTGTGTTATCAGCCTCTAAGGTCAAGCAGCAGGGGCCCAGCCTTCTGAGCCAGAGGGACCAGAAAAGACTGTCAGGGATAAAGGGGTCAGGGAGGTCAGGAGCCTCACTCCCCACCTCTCATCACTGTCAAAACAGATCCCTCCCTCTGGGCCCTTTCTCCCCTGCCGGACAGGGCAGACTCAGCAGAGTCAGGACCTGCAGGACTGGAGATCTGGGATCTGAGCCCCCGGTCCAGCAGCAGCACACTAGGAACAGAGGAACCCTAGGCTTTTGACTGGGCTCAGAGCAAACGCACACTGCAGCTGCAGCAGCCTTTATTTTGGAGAGTTTCCTTACTCTCTCCCCCCTACCTCCCCACCCCGTGCCCCAATTTGTTTTCTCTTCTGCGAACTGACCCTGGCTCTAGAAGGAGGGTCCCAGAGGAAGGCACAGTTGCTCTGAATGCCATCAGTGTGCAGGTCGGAGAGGAAGGCCGGCCTTCCCCCACAGCCTTGGAGGGGTGCAAAGAGTTAAGAGGAGCGCTTTCGGCAGAAGAGAAAACCCAGCTCCCAGTAGACAGCAGGCAGGAGCCCTCTCCATTGTTTCACCTGGCTATAGGATTTCTCTCTGAGACAAGGAATGGGCTCTAAAACTCTGGTAACTGGATCACTGGGAAGGGAGGTTTTTTAAAAACCAGCTGACAGCTGAATAATAGGAATTACCAGGCAGGCCGCCCTGGGGTTACTGAGGTTTGTAACTCAACCCCCAGGGAGGGGTTAGATTGGAAACTGATTTATGGGGAAGGTGGGGGTCATGGTGGGGGAGCCCATAATGCTTGACCCCCTCGCCTCTTAACTCCCTCAAGGAGGGACCCTGAATGGAAGAAAGAACAGGAACCTGGGTGTCCATCCCTTGCTGGACTTGCTCAAACAGAGTGAATTCATTCTCTCTGTGCATGGTTCCGTCTGCCTGCATGGGAATTAGTCCCTCTCTCCTGGAGGGTGTGTGAGAGAGAGAGAGAGAGAGAGAGAGAGCAGAACAGACAGCAGACAGACATTGGCTTCTGCTAATTGGATAAACAAATGGAAAGACTTGATTTCCCAGTCAATGAGCTCACTACATGCCAATCACTGGTTCAGTGAGACTAAAATAGAAAAAGCAGGTACTAAAGAGAAAACATTTGGGAACTCAGAAAACTGGATGTAAGGAGAAATGTGGAGACTGAGGCTGCCATGCTAAAGCCCAGTGGAACGTAGAAGACAAGGTGAAATCCATGAATTATGACATTCAGCACATACTCAGTTTTGTTTTGGGGGACATTCAATAAATATTTCCTGAGTGAGCAAATGGATGAACGTACATTTCTACATTTAAAAAATATGAATAGCCCGGCTGGTACGGCTCAGTTTGTTGAGCATCGTCCCATGCACAGAGAGGTCGCCAGTTCCATTCCTAGTCAGGGCACATGCCCTGGTTTCAGGTTTTGGGCTCAGTCCCCGATGGGAGGCATGCCGGAGGAGCTGATTGATGTTTCTGTCTCTCCCTTCCCCTTCCTCTCTCTCTAAAATCAAGAGAAAACATATTTAAAAAATAAGTTTCACTTTTAAAAAATGAATAGTTCTGTATTGGGGAGTGGAATAAAACCTTCAGTGGAGGATTTGCCATGAACGTCCCGTGTTACATTGTGTTTGCCACTTGGAATGGTTGGCCTTACCTGAGCTTCTTCTCACCAGCAGAGCCTCCCCTTAGAAGGGAAAGGTGATGCCACCAATGCTTTGGTGCCCTCAGTCCACCCTCCAGGCGTGGCACATGATGGAACTATGTCTTTGGAGACAAATTTACTGAAAAACTACAAGCATGGCCCTGAGGGTGGTGCCTCCGCTCCACTGTCCCCCACTTCCTGCCCAGCCCAGGGCTCAGCATGCCTAGCCCATGGGGGGAAAGTTGGCTCTATCCTGCTAAGAGACGAAGAAATCCAGTAAGAATACTCTTCCTTTAAATCTACCTCCCCCAGGATGTAGCCTCTTTCCTGGACAAAGGTACATCAATACTTCAGTACGTACTTTCCTTGGGATTGTCAGGGAAACCTCAGAAATTTCAAGCTGAGGCCAGAGAACGACCGATTGCTATCAAGGAAACCCGCAACCCTGGAAGAGCTCGGGACTGGTCCCTTCTGGGCCTGGAGCCTCCCAGGTTTTGAATCTGGTGTTCAAGAGGACCTGGGCAGAGAAGGGGAGTTGGATCGGCTGCTTTCCCAGCCCACTCCTCAGCCCCCATAGCCTTGAAGTGAAAGAGGGTTCCCATCTGGCAGTGAGAGAGAGGCTCAGTCTCCTAGGTGTGAGTTCACTAAACATTAACTAAGCACCTGCCATGTGCTAGGCTCCTTGCCAAGGACAGGAGGTGCAGATACAGGC